GGGAGCCCTGCCTCCGCCGCCGCCGCCGCCTGAGGGGCCTTCGCCGCTCCCGGCGGCCTCCCGCTGTCCCCTGTGCTCATTCTGTGGCCCTGTTCACCACCCGCCCCCCCGAGGGGGGCACTTCCCGCCACCCCCTTAGGAGCAGCGGGTATGGGGCGGGGGGCTGTGGGGCGATCGGTTTAATGGTTAACACCTGAGGTGTCCGGGCCCTGGAGCTTCCCTGTGCCTGCCGCGTATTTTTACCAACTTAAGTTATAAAATATGTTTGCTTGTGTCTCGACTGGGCAGTTAATAAAAGCGAAGTGGAATGTCTGATCAAGCTCTTCGACACGCTGGTGGCCGAGTCCAGCAACCGCTTTGCTGCGGTCGGCTTTGACCGTAACATGTTCAGAGACACTCTGCACAGCGCGTTTGGCATGACAGATGACATGATCATGGACAGAGGTGAGACTGATAGGTCTAAAAAAGATGTAAGATTTTAGGTTTACGTTGTTGACTCGATGAGCGTGCCTAGACAAAATAGTGCCATCTCATCCCTGTAAGGACAGCAAAGGAAGAGGTATGCTCAGGAGCTGCTGAGTAAAGGGTATCTTTTTCTCCTTTATGCGGGATAGTTTTCCCTTACTTAGTTCAGGATAGCTCATGGTCTTGTGCGAGGGAGACCAACCGGAGAGGCAGTTGTGGTGCTATCCTGTGGCTGTTCCTATCCCGGTCACTGTAGTGTCATGACAGAAGAGGGCAGCGTGGTGTCGCTTTCCTCTTCCCTCCGGTGGTTCCACCGGGAGCGGCAGTCACTGCTGCTGGTGGACAGCTCTGTCTCGGGAGAAAGGCATTCTGTTAGAGCGGGTAACTTCTGGAATAGAGGTGCTGTGAACAGCACTGAAGGGTCTAGGCAGACCATACAGGGAGATGAGAGTAATGTGCCAAATAAACACTTGTTAATCTGTGAAATCACTGTATTTTCATGAGAGCCATATTTGCAGTTTCCGTCAAAGTCGCATGAATGATCTCTGATGTACCGGTGTCTAGAGAAGGATGTGGAGGAGGCATGAGTCTGCCATTCTTTTCAGCCTCAGGCTACCAAGAGCCACCCCCTGGTTCAGCTTTCTCCTGCCCTCTAGCAGGAGGGATATTTAAATGCCATTTCATGCAACAAGTCAAGCGTCTTGGAAAATGCCTTACATGGACACATTGTTACAAATTATTTTAATGCTTACATACAACGGGGCTGATTCCATTTCAAAAGCAAAGCTATGTTTTCCAATTCCAAAATGCTTGGCTCTGCATGTAGAGGTGTTCCTGTAGCCAACTTACTAATTAACATTCTAAAATATGAATTAGTGATAGATGTTAGTTGATGCCTTGAATTATATCTTGGATTTGAAGTACTATATCACAGGCTGTATGAATAGTGAAGCTGCAAGACAAAGTTTCTTATTTCAGGGAAGGGAGAAGAAAAAAGATCTTGGTACATGAAAGATAGGAGAAGGCTATTTTTCTTCCTATATTTAAAATATTTATGTATTGTTTCTAGGATTACTTTCTCCAAGGTTTTTCTGAGACAAACCCTAGTAATTAAAATCCTCTTCTACATGCAAATGTGCCTTAGTGTAAGGGATATTGGTTTATTTGGTTTTTGTCTGCGTGGAAGCATACTTCCTGTAGTTGTTTAAGTCAGGAAAGCAACAGATGAAACAAAATGTCTTACTGGAGCGGAAGATCAGTAGACTGAGGGGCGAAATCCCCTTTGTTGTTACGGCTTAGAAAGATTCAAGAAGGGTAATCATACCTTGATGAAAGCAGAGAAACATCTTTAGAAAAAATATGTTTTTATACTTTCATTGAATTTTAGAAAACATTTGTTGGTGTTTCCCCATTATAGAAATGTAAAATGTATCTAATACACTTTTCAGTGTTCCGCATTTTTGATAGAGACAACGATAGCTGCATCAGTGTGGTGGAATGGGTGGAAGGCTTATCAGTATTTCTTCGGGGGACATTGGAAGAAAGGATGAAATGTAAGGTTTATGTGCATGCCACTATTTAGTAGCAATCGTGGAATTTATGACTATTAAATTACACGTTGCTTTTGTTATAATTCAGTAGTTACTCTTATAAAGTATTTGGTAATTGAGTTTGTGTAGTTTAATGCAATGAAACTGAATACTGAATGGCTTCTCTGAGACTGAGATTATTCTGTGTAAGCTGCTGTTAACATAGCCGTCACCTTATTTTGTTGCTGACAAACTAGCTTTTGAACTGAAGCTTGTTCTACAGTATACAGGTTTTTTGACAGAATATATGTTTTTGTATTCACACACAAAATTAGAAAGCAGCAGATGTAGCTCAAGGGTGATTTTGGCTGAATAACACAGTCTCAAACCAACCAAGACCTGTGCCAATGTTCATTTACTGGCACAATGCGGACACAGCAGCAGTTGCATTAATTCCAGCAGTTCTTCAGCCTGGAAGCATAGATGGAAAAACTGAGTCTGTTTGTAAGATGGTCATGAGAACCTCCACAGTAATGATGGAGAAAGACAAGAGAGAAAAAATAGCAGGAACTCCAGAATGTTAAGAACCAGGGGAAAAAAAAAAGGGGGGGGGGGGAGGGTGTATAATAGAGAAAGGAGAGTGACAGCATGTTGTTTCCATAGTGCCCAGTTTGCAGCATCAGCCATCCTTAATGCCCCATATAAATTCATTATAAAGCATTGCACTGGAAGGTGGCCTGGGGTGTAATTCAGTACGTCAGTACAACCACAAGCAGTAAGATATGCTGCCCTGCTGTAAGCACTATAGAATATACCAGTGTGTAGTGATATACAGTGTTGTCTGTTGTAAATGTATGCCAGTACAGTTTTTCACTGCAGGCTTAGTCTTTGGCAGAAAAAAACTTGTCTTCCAAAACTGAAAGAGTTTTGTTTGTTTGTTTAAGTAAGTTTTGTGAAGGAGAGTAAAGTTTATTATGGTCGTAGATTTCTGATTCCAGGGAGGTAGAAATAATTAGAAGATAAATTAGGCAAATACTCTCATCTAAAATACTCTGTTAGAGAGATTTTCTCTCTGCATTAAGGGATACTTCAGCGGTCTTTTCCATGCTAGTACAGCTCATTCTCCTTTTTCCTTTGCTTTCCTAACTCAGCTTCTGAAATAGCTAGGATGTGTTTTGTAGGTGCAAAGCCCTTCTGATACAGACAACTGATCTGCACCATGGGAAACTGGGCTTCTAAACCAGAACCTTGTTTATATTCAAAATGCACAATTTTAGAGAAGTTAAGATCTGTGAGTTACTATGGTTTCTGTGAACTGAAGATTATTTATTTGAGCAGAAATAGATGTTAACTATGAAGGGTAAATAGGCAATAATTGACTAGTATATGTATCAATGTGATACATATATTTGATATATAAATATTATATATAGTAAATGTGGCTCGATAGATATGCTGGACAACATACAATTCACATTTTCTGCCTATAGGTAACAGCCAGCTTTAATGGTGTCTGATATAGCTTGTATGAACTTTAAATCAATTTATCTTTCAAAAAGACTGTTTTGAGGTTTACGACCTGAATGGTGATGGATACATTTCAAGAGAGGAAATGTTTCAAATGCTGAAAAACAGCCTTCTCAAACAACCATCAGAAGAAGATCCTGATGAGGGAATTAAGGACTTGGTAGACATAGTGCTGAAGAAAATGGCAAGTACTTACTCATTGTGATACTTGAGTGTCTTTCAGACATTCCTTAACTGAACCTTAGAATGTTCCTATGAGGTAACAAGATACTGTGTCTGATTTACAGTGGGATTCTGAGCCACAGAGTTAGTTGTATACTTGAGATAAACAGGTTTCCTAAGGAAAGCCAGAAATATAATCCAGATCTAATGAGTCCCAGTCCAGTATCCTCACATGAAACTGTTAATTTATTATGTGAATGTATTATAAACATTATGTATAAACTAGCATGTGTATGTGTGCATACACACGTGCATGCCCAGTCAAAACAAAAGCCCAGTCAAAAGTGGAAAATTCAAAAGCGTAAGCTGCATTTATTCCAGTGTTAGGCATTTGCAGTACTTTGTTATTAAGTACATTTGTATTTTATCAATTGATCATGAAATATCTTTATTCAATTTATATATTCAATTAGAATAGTAACCTCAAGGTTATTCATGTAAAACTTGTCATACCGTAATTAATCTAGGATATCCAAATCAGCCAGGGACTGTTTCAACATTTTCATCAAATCAAGAAATATAACCTCCCCTCCTATGGTGGTGTTCAAAAAATCTCACTTATGCTCACCATAGCGTTTGTTGGGGTTTTGAGCTGCCACATCAGTAGAAACAGGAGGGTTTCAAATTGCAGAAATATTAAAGACGCAAGGATGTTTTTTCCACCCCTAGAGGAATATTCTGCTGTGCTGAGATTCTGCAGTACGAAAGAAGTGGGCTGGCATCAGCATACTCCGCCGTATGCTTCTCGGTGCCGTACATGAAAAAGACAGGGCAGAATTATGCCTACTATAGAAACTACTAGGGTAAAGTATTTGCAGCCTCATGAATAGGATGTAGGTACACTTATGACATAAATACATATACAGAATATATCCTAACGTTTTCTCCTGCTTTGAAGTCTCCTATTTTTAATTTATCTTGGTGCAACTGTGCTTGAGATTTGTCCATGCAATTCTCAGGTCAGCCTCTTCCCACGTTAAAGTTTTGCCTTCTCTGGAATTCTGTTAACATGAGATAGTTGAGCCTGCTCCACCTTGTATGCCTGAGGTAGAGGCAAGTAACACAATCTTGTCTGAGCAGAGACTGATGGCCCAATGAAAATCATCTTTGTATACACTCAAAATAGAATCCATGTGAATAAAATGTCTGTTAAACAAAAAGACAGTTGCTACAAGTGATCATCCTTTGCTGAAGAGTTCCCTTCCTTTTGTAGGACTATGATCATGACGGCAAGCTTTCTTTTATGGACTTTGAAAAAGCAGTCAGAGATGAAAATCTTCTCTTAGAAGCCTTTGGACCGTGTTTGCCAGACATAAAGGTACATCATCCTTGAGTTTAAAAAAAATGTGCAAATACTTTCTGTACTGGTGTTAAGGAGATGTATGGATTATGGTATTAACTGTCATTACATGGGGCCTGCTGAAGTCAACTGATAAATGCTTCAGTTGTGAGATGCATGGGCTGAGTTCATACCTACCTTTCACAGCCCAAATGTTTCCTTATACAGTCAAACACTGGTACCAGAGAATGTAAGAACACACTGTTACTCACCGTTTGTCTGTCCCGGGGCGGCAATATAATGAATGATCCTCAATGAGCACCCTCTCAGACTTAAGAAAACGAGACCGTTCTCTTGAATTGTTTATCTGAAAGCTCTCTAGGAATACAACTTTTTTTTTTTTTTTCTTCAGTGCCACTGGCAACACTGCCATCACCTCACTTACAGCTTCTTTTGGGAGAGGCTGGTAGCTGTCTGAAAAAAATACCTTGAGAGGGTTCTTCATCTCAGAGTGTGGCACTGCTATTTTTTAATTACATCTAACTGGGCTTTATTTATAGCAATACATCTAATTCAATTCAGAATTGGTTTGGGGTTTTGGTTTTTTTTTTGGAAGATGGTAATTTAGAACATGCTCATTTCCTCAGTGTTAAGTTCAGCTGTGGGGAGTTTCTGCTCTATAATAATAATTTTTTTCCTCATCCAATAATCATTATTCCATTTGAACTGCATGTCATTTTTAAATACTTGTTGTATTACTTTAATAAGTTGTGCCTTCATAGAGATGGAAAAAGAAAATTCTGAAATACTTGCAGTGATTCCTAGAAACAGAGAAGTTGTGTAAGACTGCTGGAAACACGGCAAGTTTTCATTTGCTGGAAACCTGCACTTCCTGCCAGCTCACCTACCCGGTAGGCTGGAGGACAGGAAGAAAGAGTCTTGTAGCCATGATTGCAGGCTGTATTACATCATGTCAGCTGCAAAGCAGCTGTTTCCAAAACGCCAGACTTGTCCTGGCAGGCTGTCACAAGACTTTCAAGGGTTTGGGAAAACCCAGGTAAGTACTCTTGTTTTTTATACCAGTGAAAAGGTTTTTAAAAGTTTCTGAATGAAATTACGTTCGCTAATCAGCATAGAAAAATGACTTGCTTTCTGTCAGCGTTGGTGGTAAAGCAGGTACACAATTCAGGCTAATCATGGCAAGAGGTGGAAAACTCGGCTTGTTTCTTGCTTACAGTATTTGTGCCCTCTGCTCTGTACCCTACCCAACTGTTGCCTTTTTACTAGGTCTCTAGTTTCACTGTTAAAAGAGAACTCTATTTACATGTCCTTTCAAGCCCTAAAAGCGATGAATAAATTTTGGCTATGAGCTTTACATGAAGAAAACCCATAATTTACTAGATTTCCCAGTGGGGTTATGTTGGGGAATTTTAATTGTGCCCCTTGACACAAATTAAACACTCATTTGTACTTAAACACATTTAAATAAAAATGTTAACAACTTACTGGACAGAGTCCTACCACCATAAGTGATTCTGGAAGGAGTCTGCAAAGATGCGCCACGAGCTGATTCCTTATACACACTTGCACCAGCACCAATCCTGTGACCGTCAGCATGGGGCACCTGAGTCCAGCCGTGGGTTCATCCCCCCAGCGCCAGTTCTGCTGCCCGAAGGTGGCCCCCGAGCACTCCCACTCCAGGATTGTTACGACACAGTGCTGCGGATATTTCTTACCTCATCACCAAGGGAAGTTTCACTCCTTTACATGAAGTCATC